ATAATAATGACAATCGAGCTAGGAAAAGTGATGAAATAAAACACAGCACCACACATAACATGCTTTATAATGAGCTAACATGGTGAATACTCTTCCTGTTGGGAGACATCTCCTCTGTACAGTTGTTTATCACCATGGTTCATTCTGGAGAGACTCCTTTGTACACATGCACTGCCTTATTAATGGATTCAGGGTCTCTCAATTGGGCAAGAACTCAATGATATGGCTAGTCTAGCTGGCTGGATTGTCTGGGATTGCCCATTCCTGCCTCCAGAGTTCTGGAATTTCTGATGGGTCATGAAGCAGAATTCCACTTCTCATACTGACATGGGCTTTATCCACGGAGACGTCTCCCCAGACTCAGGTATACTTAATTTCATGTTGCTATTTCACTTCAGCTATGGACTAATGAATATAATTAGTGGTGCTGTTACAGATAACTACAGACAAATGTATGTAGAAAACCCAAATATTCATGTGTTTTAGATGGATACAAGGATTGATGATACATAGGTAGATAGACAAATAAACAGACAAAGGATAAAGAAGAATCTGAAAAGAGAACTGAAAACACAATATGATAAAGGTATTTAAACTAATACTGTTAATCATTGCATTTTTAGTGCCATCTCGTATAATGCAACAACCCAAGCAGCACCATATTCTGGTGAGAAAACCAAGATCTAAGGGAATAAGTAATATGACTGATGTTGTAATTTAAGAGAAAGACAACATTATTTTTATCAGGGAAAGGGATCATAAAAAGAGGAAAGGGAAGTGGAGAGACCAGTCTCTAGAGATAGCAGCAGGAAAGAGGAGAAAGAGGTGGGCATGGGGGGGGGAGAGGGACAGAGAGGAAAGGGAGGAGCAGACAGGAAGAGGGAGAGAAAGAGAAAGAAAAGGTTGGGGTTGGGCAGGGACCTTTTAAAAGGGAACATAGTGAATATGCACAGGTGGTGCTCTTAGTGGCTGCAGCTGAGGGTGTATCATGTCAGAACCCCCAAAACAGACCAGTGCAGATGACAGAATACTAATAGAGGTTATCATGATTGTGTAGCACTGTCAAGTCAATTCTTCATTGTACTCTAATGCTATTTCTTAGTACCTTTAGAGATTATAAAGTATGGTGTGTTGCCTCTCTGGTAAAATAGTGAAAATATAGTAAAAGTCAATTCAGTAGGATAAATAATACATTAAAAGGATTACCAAGAGGCTGGAAATGTTGTGGGTATAAACGTGTAACTTAGGGCAGCTGTTGGGGATTGAAACTGCCAACACTCACACAGGTTACTTAAATCTATGATGGTGTCCTTGCACCTTTAAATTAGAATCAATAACAGTCTCTACTTCAAGGCTAGGGGCTGATATATGAATTTATGCATGGTAAGAACTATGAGTGCTTGGCTCTATGGCAGAGTCTATATGGCAGAGTCTATTAAAGTGTGAGCTACTATTATGTCTTCATTTCAGGTTGTTAACATGTGCTATGTTATTTTCCTTAAATTTTCTCATTTTCCAAATCATACTTCTCTCTCTCTCTTTCCTCTCCCCTTCCCTCCCACATCTCATACACACACCATGGAAACCTGGTTTCCCTGACACCTGTTAATGTCTTTGTATTTAGTTTTAGCTCAGCATATTTTTTCCCCTGCAGTAGTTTCCTTCCTATTTCTTAGTGGAGTTATCTTTATCCACAAGGCAAATTAGAGCATTAGATTCAGGCTTCTGGAATGACTCGAATGAATGCTCCAAGGGTATACTAGGACCTGAGCAGAGACAATTGTTCCCCATTCAGAGACTTTCTCCATAAATATGCTAACTTTCATTTTGAGAGCATGTACAAAGTCAAGAGCAGGTAAGCTAGGACATAGCAGGGGCAGAGTTCGCACTACATGAAAGACAACCTGAGAAGAAAGTTATCATAAAACAAAGCAGCTTTGAGAGAGGGGACAACACAACATGTGTTCTGCAGGAACCAACTGAACCAGAGGCTTACGTTTTATATCTTCTAATTGGGGTTCAATAAATTATCTTATTTGCTTGCCATAGGTTACTCTTATTGAAACAAGGGAAGTCCTAATGAGTTTAGAAACAGAAGTTTGCATTCAGTTTATAAATTTACACAATTAATTTTTATTTGCCAGTGAGGCCAATTGCCTAGCTCAGGGTTCTGCAGTACTTTTGCAATTCACAAGTGTATCTGAACACACTTGTAGCTTGTACAAATGCCTCTAAGATTTTATCTCATTCACTTGTCATTACTAGCTGTCCTAGGGTTACTACTGCTGTGATGCATTATTACCATGACCATAAGCAACTTGGGGAGGTAAGGGTTCATTGCACCCACAGTTCCATATAATAATTCATCATCAAGAAGAGCAAGGGTAGGAACTCAAGTAGGGCAGGAACCTGGAGGCAGGAATTGATGCAGAGGCCATGCAAGGTTGCTCCCTGAGGCTTGCTCAACATCCTTTCTTATAGAATCCAGGACCATCAGCCCAGAGATAGTCTGGCCCACAATGAGCTGGGCACTCCCCATCAATCCCTAATTAAGAAAAGTCTCTACAGGCTCGCTAACGCCCAGACCTTATAGAGGCATTTTCCCAATAAGGGTTCTCCTCTCAGATGACATAAAATTGGCTTGCACACTACCTTATCATTAACATAGGAATCATGACTCCATTTTGGTGGATAAGACTGTGATGCAAAGAAGGCAGTTACAGTGTCATTTGGATCTGTACTCCAGATCCTAGATCGCTGACCCCCTTCTTTTGCTGTTATAAAATGGCACTGACTGTCTTCTCACTTCACAGTATCAGGTTTTTCAGTGACTGTGGTGTGGTTTAAAGTACCCTGAGGCTCCTCAGTGGTCTACCAGAGTTGCACTCCCCATACCAGGCTCCAGCTTTGCTTGTGTGTTTGTCATTTTTGATATGCTTCCAATTACTCACTCATGGTCCTACAAAAAGTTCTAATCAGGGAATTATTTATTCTCATTGCGACAGGGGGACAGAGTGACATTTTTAACCCTTCAACCATTACTGTGACACAATTTAGGCTTTTATTTTCATTACTCAGGCATGAGTTCATTCAGAGGCAGGGAAATAATCATTTTCCACCCAGACTCCTGCAAACAATTAGTAAGGATGGGCTAAGGGGAGGCACAGGGACAGAGGCCAATTTATTCCCGAGTTGATGTTTAGTCCCTCAGTTATCACCTGGCCTGAATAGTCAGAAATCTCCTGAGCCTTGCCCAGCAAAATAATATGTGTATTTCTTGGTCACATTCATATGGCTTTGGAGTTACACTTGACAATTTCCTTTACGAAAATGTTCCACATTGTCTTTTCCATTCCTCTGTGATGAGGGAGTTCTATATCTCTTTGGAAAATTCAGCTCTGTCTGACTGGTTAATCTCCACTCTCTGAATTTGGAGATGATGGTTTTAAATTTAGCCAAAAATTAAAGAAAATAAATGACCATCTTTCCAAATGCACAACTCATTTCACCAACTACTTTTCATGATTTTGAAACATGTACTAACATTTTATTTTGAACTGTCATGTGGGTATAAATTGTGATTTCCTTACTACTGTTTTTTAAAGCCATTGGCAACCTATGTCTTTATCTATTCCCACCGATAAGAACAGACACGTTTCTGACCGGTATTAGGGATATTTTTCATGTACATTTTGGAAACAGTATCAAGTTATTTTACTGTATAAGAAATGTGAAGCACGAAGGCTAGTCTTGTCTAATTGGCAATGTTTCCTAACAAGAGATGTGGTCACTGGAAAAGAATAATTATTACACTTCATTTTTGCCTTTCCCTAAATTCTTCAGCATACATCATAGCTCCTTTGTAGGTAGTCCAGATTCTTTTCAGATATAACCATCTAGCTACAATTGATAAGAAATTAGAGGATATTAAAGGTGGCTGCTAATACTAATAACCACTAAAGCTCTAACAATAGAGATATCCCTTAGCATTTAACTTCATCAGTATTCAAGGGGTTCATCTATTTCAGGCAGTTTACCACACTCTTTTCATGGTTGTACCAACACATTCATTAGCAGGTATCAATGTGAGTGAGGGCTATCTATGAATGTGTCATCTTTAAATGGTGGAAATCTGAACAATTACTATGAACTCTGAACTATGCATTTCCCAGAAACTAACAGGGTTAATGGCCAGCCAAGCATGCTCAGACTACCTGTGGGTTCTGGTCCTGCTCCTGACTACTTTAATGACCTTTGCACCTGGTATAACTTCATTATCTTTAGTTTAAATTATACAGATTTATTTTACAAGATTTTTTTTTTGTGAGAATTAAATGAATTCCTAAGTATATTCACCATACTTTTAAAAGCTTGAACTAACCATTTCCTATGGCCCACCAGCCCCTGACACTTAAACTATGTCAATTCCCTTAAGAGGAGAGAAGTATTGATAAACATAAACAAGAATATAAATTTAGAGAATGCAAGACTGCCAAGGTATCATATCCTAAAGGAGTCATCACATATAAGTATGTTCTCATACTGAGCAAACATTTCTAGGAAGTGGCCAAATAAAATATGCATTCCCCACAAAGTAAAGCAGGAGAGAACATACTTGGAATATTAATAGAGACGCTATGATGATGAAAATGTCAATGTCATAAACTTGTGTTGGTGAGGCATCAAAAGAGCATGATTCAAAACCCGAGTCAAGGCTCACTGATGTCACACATCAATGTGAATTTGTCCAGTGTAAACAAATCTCCTTGGCTGTGTCACTTACCTCTTAGTATAAACTTTCCAGCCTCTTTAATAATAAACACACATTTCATCAAATGACATTTTCTATTTAGAATTTTGTTACTTCTCCGTTCACTTTAAACAAGTTTTGCTTCCACTCCAGTGAATACAAAGATCATTTTTTTCCCACTTAAATAATTAAAATTCAATTAAGAGCACAGCACTGCAGATGTCTGCCATTTTTGAAGGGAAGGAATTACCTTCATGAGAAATCTCCTTCCAAGGATTGGGCGGATACATGAAGGCTGCATTCTGGATCTGATCATGGATGTCTTCATCTTCATTAAAAGGGAAGGTGCCACTGAGGCTCACATAGATGATGACCCCAACAGACCACATGTCAAGAGAGCGATTATAGCCCTTGTTCCTCAGAACCTCAGGTGCCAGGTAGGCTGGAGTACCCACCACTGACCTCCGGAAGGACTTCTCTCCAATGATCCGGGCAAAACCAAAATCACAAAGTTTCACCTGTTGACAAATGAGAATTTGCTGAAACAGTGAGTTAGAGTTTTCATTAGTTCAGCTCTGTCAGGTATTCAGAAATACTTTATACAGACAATAACAATTGGCCCTGGTAGAAGAAATGCTACTTTCTATCTTCTATTTGTGAAGACAGTAGTTTATGTTGCAAGACAAAACTAGTTTTTCATTCATAAAAGTATCTCGTAAACCTTTTTCTTCCTACTCCAAATATCAGAACATAAATATGAAAATAAGTTTGGAGTACCAGGTAGAAGAACATGCAAATTGATAATGATTACCTTGCCTGAGGGTAGATAAGAGGTAAGTAAAAAGATGACAGGATTCACAATAACCATCAAAAGTAGCTCTGTAAGGGTCAGCACAGCAAGGCCAGACACCTACCCTGGTCATGTACTGTAGAGCTAGGGTTCCTAGAAAGATATCCAGGCTTTCCTATCCCTGTGTGCGAGAAAGGAAAACTTGCCCTTGTCCCCAGTCTCAGAGATCAGGCAGCATCCCTGGTATCCTAAGGTATCCTCCGTATAAAGGTCATGCTTTCCACACAGGGTTGGGACCACCTGCTCTGAGGAAGCCCAACAATAGACTGAGGAAGCACAGGTACCATCAAAGCAGTTTCAAGAAAAGTGACTGATACAGAAGCTATCCAGAAAAAACAAGGCAACAAGGTAATGAAGATACTCAGGGGAAGACTTCAAAGAAATTCACTTGCTTAAGGGGCAAGAAAAAAAAAAAAAAAAAAAAAAAAAAAAAAAAAAAAAAGGAGGCTGCATGGAGCATGCAAGGATGGCAAGTTGGCTTTCTGCTGAGAGTGGCTTTTGTACTTGCCTGAGGGAAAGGATCAGCAGATGCCAGCAACACATTTTCTGGCTTGAGGTCACAGTGAACGATGTTTTTGAAATGAAGATGCCGCAAAGCCACTAGTATCTATAAAGAAGAAAATCAACAAAATAACTTCATTTAAAGACATTACTAATTCATTTCAAGATATATAACCAATTTAAAGAGATGAATGAAATGAGCTGCAGCATGAATTTGAAAGGCCGAGAGGAACACCACATTGACCAGTCATGGTTCTTTATGTTCAAGATTCTCAAAAAGTCTACAGTTTAAGTAGTAGGTTGCTAAAGAAAATTCCATGAAAGAAGTAGCATATTCCTCAATGGTATTATATAGCAACAAACACAGGTGTAGACAAAGGAATTCACCACATGGCATAGAAATACTGAGTCAAAAGTCGGTATTGAGCCAGGATTAAGCTGCTGTTGTATTACAATTTCAAGAATGTCTTTAATGTGTGGATCAGCTTAAAGTGCTACTAATTTTGTATGCTGGACACTGAATGACATAAATATAAGCAAGAAGATATACTCCACCCTTGCAATCTTTTTTAGTTTAAACAAGAATCAGAGACCAAAACAACAAGGCTAGAGAGCTGTAGTTAAACAGTGATAACATCTGATATTGAAAACTATTTTTTCTGTCTCTAATTGATTTCTTACCTGAGTAATTAAAAACTTCGTTATGTGTTCTGGCAACCTGCCCTTTTCACTTGACAAGATCATCTCCAGCATGTCTCCATGGAGTTTTTCCATAACAACAAACACTCTTTCAGGCGTCTCAAACATACACTCCAAATTTACAACACCAGGGTGATGAAGGTTCTATTAAAGATAAATAAAGCACTTGAAGAAAATGAGTTTTTTGATACTGTTTGGCAAGCTCGCTGATTACATGAAACTGTTGAAGCTTAAAGCTTGGAGAAACCCACACTTAAGATTCTTAACACCTCCCAATTCCACATGTGCAGTCTTATATTTTTGAAATTCTAATGTTTCCAAAAACTATATCTTTATTTTCTATGCATAGTGAAGTTATTTCTATACTAACCAACCAAGTTCTAGCACAGTGAATTGCTAATTAGGTTTTAATTAGAATACCATATTGAGATACGTATAATTTCTTAGGATCATCTCCAATATTAAGCATATTGTCTTTAAAAAAGCACATGAAGGCATCTTACACAGTTTATATTTAATGCAAAAGGGATGAAATTCATATATGGAGTACATATATGGACTGACAGAACATTGCACCCAGACTCTGCCAGTGTTGCCCAGCTTCACAGGCTGGTGTAGGAGGCAGAAGATACTACCCAGTGTGAAGATCACTGTTGTCAAGGTGAAGTACCACCTAGCCAAGTACTACCTAGCCCTGGTTGGTCAGGATACTTTGTAGGATTCCCTCATGGTTCTCACTTCCCAATGGAGTAATGGCTGGCCATGGATGTCTACATTGTGCCTGAATAGCTGTGACACATAATTTCTCTGAGCATTACATTATTCCCTTCTTTGATTCTTAAATTTCAGTGTTGTTCTGGGTCATCAAAAGCCTTTAGTCATTTGACCTTTATTATTATTTTTTTTTAACAAAGCAATAAAGTTCTAACAGCACAAAACATTGACATGTTTTACCTGTATTTTAGTGAGAAAAATGGCAACATCAACATAAAACATCATGAACAAAAATTAAGAACTTCTACCTCCCGGACAAAAATGAAAACAAACAGACAAACAACAACAACAAAATGGTCACAGCAGAATCAAGGATCTCAGGATGGTTCTACTGAGTTTCTAATTCTCCTGGGCCAGTTCCATGAGGAAGGCTGTCAGATTTGAGGATATGATTAACTAGTTCCTTTCCTCTGTTTCATCTAACTGCACATCTGCAGTATTCTGGGAGGCCTGGTTTCCTTGACTATTACCTTCTGTTCCAGTGAGGAACAGATGCAATGAATAAGAAAGGAAAGATCAACAAAAACATAACTCTGCTTCCTAAATTATCTGAATATATGTGTCAATCTTCAAGCATCCCTAGCTTTGTTTCCTTAAGTATATGAGTTAGTGCTTTAAGAGACCACTCACTAATAGATTCTTTTTCTCCTTTTCCCTACTCGAAACCAAGGCTTTAACAGACTCATGCATGGGATGGGGCTTAGTAAATGTTGCATAAACAGGAAACATTCCCAAAATGTCTTAGCTTAGAAGTATGGAACAGATGACTAGAGTTTTTCTGTCTTATATTAAGAGGCATGTTCACTGCAAATCAGAATTCTACAAATGTCCACTCTTAAGTCTCTTTACAAAAGGACTAAGTAGGATTTTGCTGATTCTCCACACAGGATATTTTGCATTGCTAAACAAACAGATTTAAAAATAAGTAGCGTAGTCAAGACAGTATCCAAGTAAAGGCTGTACATACACAACTGTAAATGACATTTTAGAAATGTAACTCATGTTTTCACTGCCCTTGTCTTTCCTTTTACAACAGTCTATTGCTTCATAAGTTTCCTAAAGGATACATTGAGTGACAGCTGAAAAAAAAATCTTCCCCAAAATAAACACTTTCTTCTGAGCTATTGATAACAATTTTGTTTGGGGCAGTGTCTTATTCTATGTCCTATCCTGGCCTTGAATTGACGATGTAGATCTGGCTGACTTTGCATTCTTCATGACTATCCTCTTGCCTTAATCTCCCGAGTGCTAGGTGTGAGCTTCCATGTCCAGCTTTTTTTTTTTTTTTTTATTCTTGTCTCACTAAGTCAAATGATCAAACCTTTTATACTGAACAAGAAAATGTGTACATAAAGGAGTGAGATTATCTTATCTACCAAAATTCCTACATTATACTCTTTGAAATATTTTCTTAGTTTGGAGAATATATTTAAAAGCTATGACAAGGAAAGAGAAGATCAATTTTTTTTTAATCTATCTTCATATGTTATCAATGGCACACATACAATTTTTAATCATGTAGCACATGGAAATTAATACCTAGATACATTTCAAACAAGTCCATATTACTCGACACGTGTGTGTGTGTGTGTGTTTGTGTGTGCATGTATGTACATATGTATATCTTTGAAAATGACTGAACACCGCAAAGACAACTAACTATAGGGCAGTGGCCTACAAGGAGAATCCTTGCTAATTTCTGAAGCTTATGGCAGGAACTCAGATCATATATTTCACAGCGGAGCAAGATTCTGCAGGACTGTGACCATCTGTTTGCTGGATTTCAGTAACTTAATTTTCAGGAAATGAAACATTTGGTCAAGCACAGGAAAAATGGTGCACTTTCACACACTGTAGCCTGATGACATCTATGGAGTGAACACAAGGTTTTTCAAAAGTTGAGAGGAAATATCACTCAGAGATCAAGACAAAATCTCCTTGACTCAAAGCTCCTAGGATGATACTCTTAGAAGCAAAACATTTTATTGGGAAGTAAATTAATTAAACTGCACTTTAGGTTTCCACATATGTGATCAGTTATACATGCATTTGCCTGCATAGTGCTATGTTAACACTTAGTCTTTAATGGTACCAGAGTTGCTCTATTTGATAACTGGGGTTGGGAATTTATTCCTGGTATTAAGTCGTGATAAGCTATCACTATCAAAATTTCACTTTCTTTTTTGTAGGCTATTCTACTCTAATATATAAGGGATAATAAAGTAGAGAACAGAAGATATTAGATTCAGCATATCATTTATCATTTTAGGAGCAGCTTTGATGTGAGAGTGTTTGACTACTGTTTCATCAGAAGGCTGTGTGACTCAGCTCATACTGCAACAGGAAAAACTAAACAAGAAGTTCAGAATCAGAATTCAAAAGAACTGGAGGAACTGAAGAAGGGCCATCCCACCTCATAGATATGCACAGCAGAGTGAGGTGTCACTGTCATAGGCATGAAAGGGATTGCATTCCCCCCTCTTCAGAGTACTAAGAAAAGCACAGCATTCTTCTGTTTTCTAATTAGGGTCTCTTACAATTTCTGCTGTACTTGGTGGTCCTAGAAGTTATTATCACCTAATGCTTTATGAAAGGGAAATGGCTTATAATGCCTTGATAGATATGGGAAATTCATCTTGTGGGGGAAACAGGAAAATGCTTCTTAAAATTGGTATTGATATTGACTGGAAGGTCTCTTGGTTTCTAGTCTTACAACCATCTGCCATTGGTACAGATATTTAATGAAAAATGTCCAATAATGAACCAGTATCGTTCTACCCAAATTTGTCTTCTTTTGCTTCTTTTATTGACCAGTGAATTCCTGAGACCAGAGAGCTGAAGGTCATTCTAAAATTGGACTTGTTCCCTCTCTCTGAATAGCAGACTGTACCTTAAAATTGAAGGGCATACTCCCTCTTCTCTCATGTAGATCCTCTTGCCTTTGGCTTTATTATCATGCCTGCATTTGGACTCGTATCTTTCCTTAGTCAACTGCTGCTGCCACCCAATGAATCTTGTCTTGGGATTGTTTTCCTTCAAGGTAATCATTAAAAGAATGCCACTATAATCTTCCTAAGTTGACTCTGGCTTACAAGCCAGTCACCACTAGCTTCAGGAAGAGGTACTTTCTGTCAGCAAGGCAGAGGAAACCCATCAATACCTGTCTGTTTTCAACCTCCTGCTCACAGTTCCCTCCTTTTTGTTCTACACAGCTACTTGTCTTGGTCTATACACTAAAAGTCATTTTCATATTTAGCCACACATCCTCTTTCCCCAGCTTACACATCTACTTTTCCCTTAGCCTGAATGAGACAATTGGTTTTGTACAAACTTAGTTGTTGGAAAGATGTCTGTGACATTTGGTCTAAGTTGGATTCCTCTCCAGGATCGTTGGTACACTCTTCTTTCATAACACTTATGTTACACTGTTACTGACTTTATTTATACAGCAATAAGACAACAATCTCCTTATTGTCCATAATTTAATCAACTGAATTCTCTCTCTAGTGTCTGGGACACTTTAGATGCTCAGTATACATTCCTTCAATGTTACTGAAAGATGAACTTCTGCATCATTTGATTTTTTTATTAACTGATTAATATTCCTGAATATTTATGAAATTGATTATTTTTTATTAAGTTGAAAATGTTTTAAAAACTGAATAATTATGATATAATGATTTTATTTTAGATATGATACACATCTTTAATAGTTAGTATTGATATATTTGCATCAAATAACATACAATAATTACTTCTCTGCAGAAAACATACAGTATATGGATTTTCATTGCAAGCTCATTGAATTGTTGGTGCACAACCTTAGGACTCATGTGATGAAATCCTGTGATCTTAACTAACATCTTCTTAAATAACAAATGTCAATTATATGGAGGTAAATATCAGAAATGCTGCTGCCAGTGAGTTCCAAAGTGATTTTCCTAGTAACAAGGACATGAAAAAGACAGTATCATTCATTCACTTTCTAGGGGTCAGCCCTCAAAATATGTCAGCTTTGACACCTATTTGAACAATTTCACCATCTTTCTTAGGAACAAACCCATGGTTTTCCTCCCATCTAGATGATTTGTACTCCTTCCATGTCTTTGTCTCATTGGTAGCTGTCAATTCACATCATTTTAAGAAGCACTAGAGAGTGATCAGAAAGAGACCAGATGAGCGACAGGAACTTTCTTCTATGAGAGCCTCTCCCATCATGGCCATTTTCACTACATGATTCATAATTTCATTATTGCTGGAGGATGAAGAATAAAAACTCAAAATAGGCTACTTGGACAATAACAATGGTTATACTTGTGCCCCTTAGAAACAGGTTTTGACTTCCTTTCTTTGGTAGGTTTCTATTTTAA